CTAAAGACTTTTGTTTCCCATCGTGTTGCGAAAATCATCGACGATGTATCCTTGGATAGCTGGCTACACGTATCGACATATGATAATCCTGCCGATAATTGCAGTCGAGGTCTCAGTGGTTCACAACTGGCGACATGTTGTATGTGGTGGTCAGGTCCAAGTTGGCTCGCTAACGATTCCTCCACTTGGCCAATAAAGTTCAAATGGGAATCACAAGCTTCCGTACCCGAGTTGCGCTCTACTGCTCATGTGTCTCAAACGGATAACGGCTCTACTGAGCTTGATTTTATTAGTGGACTCTTAGACCGCTACTCCACGCTGTCCCGCGTTCAGCGTGTGCTAGCTTGGTGTTTGCGGGCTGTAGCAGCGTTCAAACGAAACTATAATACTAAGAATTTCTTGAGCGTATCAGAGCTGAAGCAGTCTATCGTCTATATGGTTCGACATGAACAAAAACTTCATCTTACAGAGGAAATCAAAGCCACCAAAGCCGTTAAAAAACTGCATCCCTTTATTGATGATGAGGGATTGCTGCGAGTGGGGGGCCGTCTAGAGCAATCTAATCTACCCGCAACCGTAAAACATCCCGTACTGTTGCCAAAGGCGTCTCGCTTATCTTTGCTTATTATAGATTACTTTCATGTTAATTACTTACACTGCGGTCCTCGTACTCTTCAATCGATTATTCAGCGAAGATATTGGATACTTGGCATTCGTAACTTAATTCGGTTGCGTTTATCCAAATGTATTGCATGTTTTAGGGTAAAACCCGTTGCTTGCCAACCTTTAATGGGAAATCTTCCGTCGCCTAGAGTACAATCAACGCGGTGTTTCCAAAATGTGGGAATTGACTTCGCCGGTCCATTCATAGTGAAGGAAAGTCGTAGACGAAACGCTCGTACATACAAGGCCTACGTGTGTGTATTCGTTTGCCTTGCAGTAAAGGCTATCCATCTTGAGGCAGTAACCGAGCTATCGACTTCTGCCTTTCTGGCGGCGTTAGATCGCTTCGTATCTCGTCGTGGCCTTTGTACCTTCATAGTGACCGACTGCGGCACTAACTTTATTGGTGCCCGGCGCTACCTTAACGAACTACAACAAATGGTTTATAAGAACAATGATTCGCTTGAGTCTAGTCTTGCGAAACGAAATATTGTCTGGCGACTGAACCCTCCTACCGGGAGTAATTTTGGTGGCATATTTGAGAGCGGTGTAAAATCAATGAAGTTCCACTTAAAACGCGTTATAGGGTCACAAGTGTTGACATTCGAGGAGCTAATAACGATCCTTACTAAAGTCGAAGCCGTACTTAACTCGCGACCGTTGTGCAGTCTATCTCCGGATCCTAATGAGGTCGATATTCTTACACCTGGACATTTTTTGGCCCACGGTCCTCTTATATCGTTACCAGAACCTGAACTCTCTAATGAATATGTTTCCCCTCGGGCCCGCTGGCAGATGTTGCAAAAAATTACACAGTCTTTTTGGCATATTTGGCAACGCGATTATCTCCATACCTTACAGCAACGCGCTAAATGGTTTCTAGAACAACCGAATGTTCACGTCGGAGATATTGTATTAATTGTCGATAGCAATGTACCACCACTAGAGTGGCGTTCAGGTAGAGTTCAAGACGTGCATCCCGGCAAAGACGGTGTAGTGCGTGTGGTCACCCTACGCACTACTAATGGACTCCTTAAGAGACCAGTGAATAAACTGTGTCCTCTACCATTAAATCAATAATATACCAATACTTGTCAATTTTTTTTCTCATAATTAATATTATAGCCTTTTGTTATTTAGCTGGTAGATTTAGTTGTTAAATTATGTTGCCTTATATACCCTTCCAAGAGTATGCAACTAAAATTTAATTGTGAATACTACAGTAAGTTAGGTACATATTATTCTAAGCTAGCTTCTATTTTTGAAGTATTTAATTTTATAGTGAGAACTGCTATTGATTATTTACTCATGAAATCTGAAACGATTTCAAGTGGGGGGAATTATGTACTGGCTTGCTTTCCTTACTTTTTTTATTGCATCCTTCTTTCCAATTAACCGCAAAACAAACTTATGGCGCCATCTGTTGGCCCACAACAAAAGCGTCTGTAAAAGAAGTCGACGCGATCGATACGGAGATGTAATCGAGACTCAAGACGAACTGCATCGGTAATGGCTGTTCTTGTCTAAGCCTTCCAATATAAAAATTAATGTAAATAGCGTTAGTGAGTGTGCCGGGTCGACCCAGATGTGTGCATAGACTATATAATCACGTAGGAGTGTGGTCAAGGAAGACTGAAGCCTCCCACATCCGAAGATATCGTTGAAGCCAAGTTGGAGTTGATCGCCGCTGCCGCTAACCGTGAGTTTACCTATTTCATTTACCCTTCCTGGTGGGCCAGACTAATTTTCTCTCACTGTAGGTAAATTAAGTAGCAATTCCAAAATATATTTCTAATTACTTTTATTTCAAGTAAGAAGTGTCGCGATTACTACAAAATAGTTCAATCCGCGCATTTTTTTCTATTCTAACGTTTGATCATAGTGGTCCTTCGAGCCGGAATATATATATATATATATATATATATATATATATATATCATTTATAATAAATGGGATTAAAGACTTAACGTCGGGAAGTTGGATCAAAACGGTCTTAACAATATGGATAGTTGAGATCCGATTCGTAGAAAATTGAGTTTTATTCGATTATCCTTACCTGAAATAAAACCCACGAAATCGTAGTCCAGCGTTAAAAGGCTTACGGTATTTTGTACGTCTTATAGGCTGGGAAATTAAAATTCCAGAATAACCAATTTGTCGTGTCTTTTCGTATTATCCTTTATAAAATTCATTTCATCACATAATCGGATGTTTTTATTTTATTTGTAAGGACAATTCAAGTGAGATTTTGTGAATTAAAACTCATCAACTAAACCTTAAATTAAATAAAAATAACGGTTACGTGCTACAGTGGCCTAGAAATGAATTTAAGAGCTTACGGTTGTGGGTTCGAACGATTATTTTCAATGGATTACAAGTAAATGTTCTGGTTTTGTATGTCAGTCCTTTTGAAATTTATGTATGTTAGTTGCCTGTTGCAGCAGAAAATCCTAGTGTGTGGATAACGTTTATATTGTAATGTTAAGATGATTCTCACACCTGTTAGCCTGTCACCCAGAGTGGTATGAAGAGACAACGAACTTCCATTTAGTACGATCCTAATACACCTCTCTTGCTTCTTTTACTTCCTCTCGGAAGGTAAGAACTTATTATTCAACTCAACTTTAATGTATTAGCAATCTTGTCTTCGATAAACTTTCGATTAAGGAGTCTCTTGCCCACTCTGCTCCTCAGCTATAAAACCTTTCTGGCCTTTTACTATAGTTAGCTCTTACAAGTACGTGACATGTAACTCTATTCATTTCCCACAAATAAGTATAAAACTGAATATAATTTCAACGTATTCTAATTAATTATGTTAATTTACACAAAATATACGGATTAAGTTGTTTGAAACTTCTCGACTACAAAACAAAGTCTAAGTAAGGACTCTGATTCGACGCTGATTGCTACGTGACAACTTATTGAAATGTAAATTTCTTTATAGCACTTAACGAGTAATTTACAACTAAAGTTAAATAAGAATTCACATTTCCGAATAAATCAATCTTATTTATTTCACGAAATTCAACTGTGATTACAATTGGTGTTTATTATAAAATAAATTTTATGAAAGTAAGACTGACAAACGAACACACAATTCAACTGATAGTAATTGAATGATGTGGCCTATTGACATGTACAATCTCTTCTTATTTAAGAATCAAAACTCAGGTATGTTGTCACCCATTGCCAGTTGACAAGATAGAGGACCTAGTTACCTATAAAGGGCCTGCAGTGTTCATTCATCATATGAAGCTCCGCAGCATTACTGTTGCTACTGTTTTATGCTGGTATATAACTATGAAATGAATATTGAAATTATATTAGATTGTTAGGAAATGACTCTTTATCAGTAAAAAAAGTCACCGATCGTCATACTCAACACACGAAACATAACAAAAGCATAGCGACATGCTTTTCAAGACTTTAATACTAGACGAAAAATGCTGTTATGAGCTTAGGGTTCGTGACAATAAAAACTGCGGATTGAATTACCAAAATTGACACTTTAATTGCCGACATAAATTAAGACTTAAAACACACTAATAATTAATCACACTTAACACTTTAATTCACTTTATTTGGCTTCAAAGTCTTAGCTTGTGTCGCCAATTCAATACTCCCTGGTCGCGCTCCTTACCGACATTATATACGACCTTTTCCACCAAAAACATCTAGAATGTTCGAGTAGAATGTTGAAAGTTCTAGCAAAGAATCCTCCAGAAAGCCCTATATAAGGCAGTGGGCTTATATGCTCCACCAATTTTTCACCCAAATAATTTGAGTTTCGATCATTAGTACGACTTTTGCTTCCTACTAAGGGCAACATTGGTTCATATTACATCAAAAAAACGTCTGCCATATATGTTTTCACTGACAGCTGTCACTTTGCTGTCAACAAGTAGCGCGTGAGTTGGGTATTTTCGCTCGTGAAAAATTAATCTAGTGGAATCTTCGAAAATATTTAAAAAAAATGGTAAGAAATGATTTTAATGTATTACTTAGTGTTTATAATTGTTGTAACGAACAAATTTTTTTACGTTATTATCTAAAATTATGGACTATTTTATTTTTTCTTGGTGGCCGCATGTGGCCCTTGGCCCATTCGGCATATACCTGGTGGCTGTATTTGGCCATCTGCCTGCTCGGCGACTGCAAAAATTCTATTGACCTGTTGTTATTTTATTTTTATTTTTAGGCGGCACTTAGAGATGAAGACATTGAAAAAGAGCTGGAAATGATGTTTGGACTCCCGGAAGATCCTGATGATTCCGAAGATGGATATGAAGCGGATGATCCAGATACTAATTTGAATTTAACTCGTGTCTTTGAGGATGAAGACCTATTTGAACATCAAGGAAGCAGGGCTTAGTTCAAGCCCAATTCCCGGTACATCTTTGGACGAGAATTGGGAAAACGTCGGTCCAAATATTGAACGATTTGAACGCCAGTCTGAAGACAGTCCCATTCGCGGCCCGATACGTCGTCGTCGTGTTCTCTCTTCAGAATCCTCGTCGTCCTCGGAAAACGAATCACAGAGTGAAACCTCAGCAGATGATGGTAACGACGACGAATGGAAAAAAATCATGTGGTCAGCTGAGAGTAGACCTAAAGCTGAAGACTACGATCGGATACCACTGAAAGCGAAAGATTTCTTTCCAAGCAGGACAGCGCCGATCGTATATTTTTCCGGATTTTTTTCAGGCGAGGTAATCAGTCATATAGTTGAGCAAACGAACTTATATGCAGCCCAGAAAAAGAGTATGAAGTGGGAACCAGTGACGAGTGCTGATATAAAAGCCTTTATTGGAATGATTATAATTATGGGCCTCCATGTTTTACCCTCCATCGATTTATACTGGTCTAGTGACCCGTTGTTTAGAGTAAATGAGGTGGCAGAAATAATGACCTGTAAAAGGTTTAAAAAAATATTGGAAAACCTTCATCTTAATGATAATTCCCAAATCCCTTCTAAATCAAATCCAGACTACGACAAACTATATAAAGTTCGCCCGTTACTGGAAATGCTGAACACAGCTTGCAAAAATGAAGCTAGAACATCCACATCACAAAGTATTGACGAGGCAATGATTAGATTCAAAGGAATTTCGTCTTTGAAGCAGTATATGCCAGCAAAACCCATAAAGAGAGGTTTTAAAGTTTGGGTTAGGGCAGATAGCTCTACCGGATACGTCTATGAATTTCAAATTTATACAGGCAAAAATGACGACAGTATACCTGAGTTCGGTCTAGGTTCAAATGTGGTAAAATCTTTGTCAAAAAGCCTGATAGAAGAAGAGGTTACTGTTCATTTAGCATTTGATAACTTCTTTGCTTCGTATCCACTAATGCAATACCTTTATGAAAAAGGGATTTACTCCACAGCAGCAGTAAATTTGAACAGAGCGGATTTACCAAAGTTTATGAAACCCATCAAAAATGATAAAAAAAAAGAAAAAGAACGGAAAGAGAAACTAAAACTTACAAGAGGACATTATATATGGAGTAAAAAATGACGTAGCATTCATGGTTTGGAAAGACACGAAAAATTTGCATTTTTTAAGTACAGCATTTCACCCTAAACAAAAAACCGAGTGTCAAAGAACTATGAAAGATGGTTCCAAGAAAAAAATCCCCTGTCCTCTGGCAGCGGGTGAGTACACAAAGAGGATTGGAGGGGTGGATAGGTTTGACCAAAAACGTGGTTCCTATGAAGTTGGTCGCCGAAACAGACGTTGGTGGTGTCGAATCTTTTATTTTTTGATTGACTTAGCTATCACTAACGCGTACATATTGTACCAAAAATCCAGCAAAGCTGACAAATTTGCAATTTCGCGTAATGTTAGCCAGGTCACTTATCAGCGACTACTCGTCGAGAAAAAGGAGCTTAGGTAGCGCACCTAATTTTGTCGGCAAGAAGAATCGCGTCACGGTCAGTCCTCACTATCAAAAACCTGTAGGAGTTCCTGATGATATCCGATACAAAGACGTCGGAATACACCTGATTGACAAGTCTAACACGCGGTACAGGTGCCGTTTGTGCAGTACTAAGACAAATAACAAAAAAACCTATTTCTCCTGCACGACATGCAAGGTATTTCTTTGCGCTTATCCCTGTTTCAGTCAATTTCATCAGAAACCTTAAAAATCAATTCAGTTTTTGTAATTGTATTCAAGTAATTATAAGAGCCAAAGTTGATTGATCTCAAAAAAATAAACCTAATTATAAGAAGTATAGAGTTAGAGAAAAGCATTCCTATATTTAGTAAACTCTTTCTAACTGAAGATATTTAAGTTTGAAGACATCTATTGTCCCTTTTTAATAATATTTGTGATTTTATGTAAATAAATATATTGTAACAAACTACATTGTCTTTAATTTACTTTCAAAAACTTTGTATGAATGTAAGGTTTCTTTAACAAAATATCTATCCAATCTTAGTTACGACGACACTGAATTATTTTTACTAACACAATAAACCCTCAACTCGCTGACGAGTCTAGTCAACGAGCAAGCGACCTGTATTCCTTAAATACACGATTATCCTAGTTTAGACTCCAGTCCGCCTTCAGAAGTGTGACAACATCTTTAGGATTTTGCACGTGAAGTTGGATGCTAGGGTGACTAGATAGCCATGCCATATCATGCAGTTCATACCATGTACATCACATGAACTGTTTGGTATTTTATTGATATATAAAAGACATACAAGTCTGTGAGAATTGCGGCTTGAGACTGACTTTAAATCTCAACATTAGAACAACTAATTGATTAACTGTATGCAATTTATACATAGATTATAATTTTATACATATATTTATCACGTATTAAGTGGTGAAAAAGCACAGAGTAAGTTATTTTTATTTTTTGTCATTTCAAAATTAGATACCGAATAAAAGATTTAAGTACAATAGCACTATAAATCACAAAGGTTTGTAAATTATGCTATCATCTACATCGATATTTCCAGGTTTAAGAAAGAAAACCATAACAGTAGAAAAGTAGAATAGAAAAGAAAACCAACATGCTTGTGAATTATAAATGTTTCGAGGATATCAGTAGTTCATATTGAAGCATAACGACGGACTTATTCCTGCTTCATACAAGAGTGTAACGTATATTCTTTTCTATGAAATTCTAATTCCGTTATAGCCTGTCAAAAGTCCAAGGCTGAATATAAGCTTCCTCTTTAAATTGCCTCGTTGGCCACCACATTTTTCATTTAATTTATAGTCATTAGTATAATAATAATAAAAATAAAATATTTGTTTGCATTATAATATTAAAAAAAAAACATGGTACATTTTTAGGTCTTATAATATTTTTCTCTTATAACATTCATTGTTATGCCTTTGATTTATCAGTATGCATATATTACATCCACATGCAATGAAATAATTAAAATTACAAAATTATAAAAACACTTCATATTAAAGTTAAATTTTTGCTTGGGCTGTAGAGCGGTCTCTTTCTATCTGATTATCCAGATAAGATTGCAATATTGCAAAGCTCTGCAATTGGATTTCAGTCCACTGTTCTTCCACTCATAGGGACCGCTCTGCTAGACTAGTCAAATGACACTGTTGCTGTCATGGTGGTGGCAGTGGTCTGTGATGTCTGCCACAATGAAGAAGACTTGAAGTTGCTATAAAGAGACCAAAATCAAATTCAAATCTACATCATCATACTAATAATCTATACAATTATTATAAATTTGTCTATTATGAGTTTATCTTTTGTATATATAATGTGTATATAATTGTAAGTCTGTTTGGTTGACATAGACACAATGAACAAATTCTGATGAAATTTGGTTTGAAAACAGCTTGGACCCTGGAGTATATATCCATTATAGGCATTTAGCTCAATAACCGACATCCACGCGAGCGGAGCTGCGGCTTTGTCTCATATTAATTACTAGCGCTTTTCACGTGACCTCGCTCACGTCTATCCAAAAAGTATGTCTATGTCCATCTTCAGGGTCTAAGCAATCTATCTCCATACCAAATTTCATAAAAATCGGTTCAGTGGTTCAACCGTGAAAATGTAAGGAACAGACAGACAGAGTTACTTTTACTTTTATATGTAATATTATTATGGATATAAGTTATTAGGGGAATAAAACACATAGAATTTTCCGTTTCTATTGGAACTTCTAAAAGGTATATAAAAATACTTCTTGTTCAATGCAATCATATGTAAAGATATGGAGTCAATTCATCAACCACTTATTGAGATTTATGGACACAAACATATAGAACCTTATTTTTTATATAAAAATATTGAATATTATACACATAAAAAATTGATTAAAAATATTTTTTTAATAAGAATATATTCAAAAAGCTAGCACATTGCGAGGCGTCCGCCTTACATGTTTGTAATAAAAGTCCAAAAATATAATTACTGGCATTGTGGGAAGACCTAGCCAGCTACCGACGAACATATATTTCGACGAACATAGATTTGTTTCTGTCGTTGTCTTCGGATGATGAGACACTTAGTGATGTTAGTTATCACAGTACAACTGCTTCTCCTTCACTCAACATCACCTTAAATTCTTGTTTCTCAGATTGTGTGAATAATTTCAATGCTATTCATATTAATGCCCAAAGCATTCCGGCTCATTATCCCGACATGCTTGCGTCATTTGAATCCCGAAATATTCATGCAATTTTAGTTTCAGAATCTTGACTAAAACCCTGTTTGCCTTCTACTTCTTACTCTTCTGGGTTTCATCTAATTAGAAATGAATTAGAAATGACCGCAGTAATAGAGGTGGTGGGGGCGTGGCGATCTATCTAAGATCCTACTTTCCATTTAAAATTGTTAGTTCGTCATGTCAACCGCCTCCTGGTGATTCTGCTGAGCATTTGCTAGTTGAGGTCTCCCTGTCTCAGAATAAAATCCTACTTGGAGTTTTCTACAGTCCCTCTCTTTCTATAAACTATTTTACTTCTTTTGCATCTCTTTTAGAATCACTAGTCCCTACATATAGTCATACTATTTTGATGGGTGACTTTAACACCTGTTTACTTAAAGGCGACAATCGGGCTATAAAACTTGAGTCTATAATTGAAGCGTGTAATATGCAAATCCTACCCCTTGCTGCTACTCACAAATTTCCTAACTGTACTCCTTCCCTTCTGGACTTAATTATCGTGTCATCTTCAAACCTAGTTTTCAAGCATGGACAGTGTCCTGCTGATGCATTCTCTTATCACGATTTACTTTTCCTTTCGTATAAACTACGCCCTCCTAAAATCAAACCTAAATTAGTTCTGCGACGTAATTTTGGAGGAATGGATATTGACCAACTTTGATCTTTTTTGAAACTTTGAACTTTTTCGAAGATGCTCATAATATTGACTGGTCAGTGATTGAGAGAGCACCATGCATTGACGATAAAGTGGAACTTTTCAATTCCCTTCTCACTCAGCTATATGACGTACACGCGCCAATGCATTATGTTAAACTCAAGTACTTACCTGCTCCATGGCTCTCTGATGATCTGAAAAGGCTAATTTTAAAGAAAAATGCGGCATTGTCAAAGTTTAAGAGGAACAAAACAGAGGAAAACCTTAGAAAATACACTAAAATCAGGAATCGCTGCAACACATTGTGTAGAGACGCACAACGACGCCATATTCATTCATCAGTCGAGAACGGCGACTCATCTAGGGTGTGGAAGTTTCTTAAAACAGTTGGAGTTGGTAGAAACTCTCTTAATACTTCACCTCCCAGTGTTGATGTTGAACTATTAAATCAACATTTTTCTAATCCTTCTAACTCTTTTGATAGTGAACATAAACTGCAAACACTTCGTTCTCTTTCTGTAAGTCCGACTCCTAATTATTCTCCGTTCGTTTTTAGTCAATTTACTGTATGTGATGTTAAGAGAATCATATTATCCATCTCCTCAAATGCTGTCGGTAGTGACAGCGTTAGCCGTAATATGATCGTTCCTCTCCTTGATGTTATCACTCCCATTATCACTCATTTGCTTAACACGTTGACTGCCAGCCCGGTCACCGGTGACCGGACCCCGTCTTGTATCTACGCGCCGTGTTGGTCACCGGTGACCTCGAGACAGACCTGTTTTCGGGCACAATTATTACGCCGGTGGCCACGTTTATCGTACATTTAGTATATGCAAGTGACCGGAGCGGCGCTCTAGATTGTTACTTCAGCGTGGTTTCGGCGTGTCTATGAAATTGTGAGAATTGTGGGACAAAAATGAAGAAAGTAAGTGAAAAAACGTAACTGTCACAAAAATCAAGGATTTATTTTTATCAATGTGTGAAATATAAGTAAAAAACAAGTAACAAATTATTCTAAAATACAAATTAAACGAAGCGATGGAACTTATTGAAACACATTAAACAAAAATATGGTTCATTTGGACATTCTTTACAAAATGTTGCTACTTTCTTTGTTTTATTTTTGGCTGATTTTGAACCGTACATTGCCACACAGTTTTTTGTAACATTCTGAACAAAATCGTCGAGTGTTTCT